CTTCAGCCCGTCTGGCACGCTATTGGCCTGCACATCGGACAAGTCGACGCTACACATCTTTGACGTGCCTCACCCAAAGAAACCCCCTCGACAGCCGCCACCTAGCAGCCTGCGGAATTCGCAGTATGGCCCACCCACAGGCACTGCAGTCCCTGTTGACGATGGCAAGGGCAAGTGGGGCATTTTGGGAAAGATACCGCTGATGCCGCGAGTGTTCTCCGATATTTATTCCTTTGCCTCGGTACCGTTTGAGGCCGGAGACGAGCCACTTGTCGGTGATCGTCCGACGGCGGACCTTGCAACGCTCGGTACTTCACGACCGCCTAAGGGCTTGGTTGGGTGGATCTCCGAGGACAGCCTGCTTGTTGTAGGTGCTGGGAAGGATGCGAGGTGGGAGAAGTTTGTGATTACTGAAAATGAAGAGGGCCGGCGATTCTGTGTGAGGGAAGGATGGAAGCGATATCTTGGCGGTTCCTAGTCATTTCTTCTGGCTAATGGCTTTGCTAAGGCGTTCTGGTTTGGTTCATATGACATTGGCGTGGATACATGATGCCATGAGCCGATGGTCAACGAAGGCAACGATAATGATATAGGAAAGTGCATAGGGTTGGTAGCAGGTATCTTAGCATTGTTATTTATTCGTCCTGGGTATCAACTCGCCTACCGAGGCGATCTACTCCTATTCTGCTTGCGATCTTTTGCGTATCTCTCCTCAGAGTCACGATGCCGCCGTTCACCACGAGATGAGTGCTCGCGCTCCTTTCTATCACGATCTCCCCCCTTTTCGTGCCTCTTGTCTTGACTTCCGTCCCGTTTTCGATCATCTCTGTGTCGGTCTGGTTCCTTGTTACGGTCACGTCGACTTTCCCTATCTTTCGAGTCTCGACGATGCCGGTGGCGATGTTCTCTCTCCTCATCCTCCTCCCCGCGTCTGCGCTCGACCGTTCCCTCATCTCTCCTTGACTTCTCCCTCCTATCATCGCCGCTATCCCGGTCTCTTCTCGACCGATGCGACCGATGATGTCGCTCCTTTTCCCCCTTGCTCTTCTTCTCAGACCTCCGCCTCTCCCTCCTCAAGGCCTCCTCAACTTCCTTCTTCTTTTCCTCCACCAGGAACGCCTTCATCGGATCATCGTCATCATGATCCATGATCAACTTCTGCAATTCCACCTCCTCCTTCAGCAGGCGCCGCGCCCTTTCTTCCTCCTCACTCTCACTCTCCACATCCTGCTCCCCACCGAGCTTTCCCTCCCGTCGCATGATATCCTCCCACCCGATCTTCCCTTCCTCAGGATCCTCGTCATCCCGAATTTTATACCTTGCGTGATCAACCCTTATCAACCGCCCACCAATCTCCGCACCTCCAAGATTATCGACTGCCAAATCCGTGCTGCGCTGGTCCTCATACTTGAGCCACCCGAAACCCTTTGATTTACCGGTTTCTTTATCGCGTACCAGTTTGAGGAAGACGGGCTCCCCAAATTGAGAGAAAATTGTTATCACATCGCCCTCGGAGAGCTCGTAGGGCAGGCCGCCAAAGTAAATGTACGCTGTGTCGCGGTAATCGGCATGCCAGGATGCGTTGGGAGATCTAGACAAGTGGGTGTTGGTCAGCGTGGAGTGCAAGAGCAGGGGAAAATGGGGGTCGCAAGAGGTGGTTCTCACATTCCGGCTTCAATCTCGCGCTTGTTGAGGGCTTGAATTGCGCGTATTTGGTTCATCGTTTGCGGACTTGAGGCAATGAGGCTGGCAGTAGTTCGGAGGTGATGGAAGATTCAGGATAAGGCTGAGGTGATGATGTCGTCGCAAGGCTGAGCGAAAAATGGGCCTTGGAGGAGGTACATTGTGGGTCTCTCCCAACTGCCGCCGGCACTCTCGTTTCCCCAAACACAGCAACGAAACGTCCCTACACTAACATTACCTCTAGATTGCGAACGGACAAGCAGGATAAAATACCGTTCACTTTGCCTAGAACTATAATTCGATAATCTTTACTTTGTAGATCTTGCTTCTTCGGACTTACATCTGTCTAATTGCCTAACTTCTTTCTGGATTGACACGGACCGTGTGCACATAAAAGCTCTTTTTGCAGGACCAAGAGAGCTCGTGGTGAGAAGATGCAGTCCTATTGGCGGTGTGATATATACTTTCAGTCGGCCTGCAGAGATGTTGCTTCAGGATAAGTGATCTGATGCTTCGTTACCCAGACGCCGTCACTAAGTCACGTAAACCGAACAAAGTGCCGAGGTACCTTGATTGTAGGCAAGGACAACTGATAGCATCCTTCGTGTGCTGATATAGAGAGTACTGCGGTATAGTGGCTCCATAACGCTGCAAGCTGCACAACTCAAAATCCTTTGGCTTGACGTTTGACGGAACATGACTGCATCATGAAGATCACAATGGCGGTCACTTTCGCGAGGGGCTTCCCGCCCGCCCCTTTCTGGGAGCGACCCCGCCTGTGGCCCTGTCTAGCAGGGTGCTTGGCGATGTTCCACCACCAATCGTATGATAGCTCACCGACAACCTGGAAGTTTTGGGCCATTCTCAGGGGACCGATAGCTGATAGGGTCCACTTTGAATTCAACGTTTGCACCACCACCGAAACACCACCCACTGACGAGCTTTTCTCGCTCGATGTCGTCGCTCTTTTGACATCGTCCTGTGCTGCTCGTTTCTGTGCTTTTTTGTCGTTTATTGCCAGCGTGAGTGGTGACTCGCTCTTGACTGGCCTATATCCGCCCCGCTCGTTACTGCGCATCAGTGACCAGAAGCCGATATCTGGTCGTCTATCTAAACTTTCGCAACTCACCGATACGAGCGCATATCTTGCATTGACTTGCAGTGCCCCCCGCATCTGAGACCCCTCCTGCGAGATCAATTGATCCTTCCACACTCTTTAGAGCATCATGAGTGATACTTCTGGCGATGAAGCGCCCGAAAATACCGTGTCGCTTCCTGTTGAAAGTGCCCCGGTACTTGCACCATCACGCCCAATGACACCCGCCGTGGCCAGACGGCCCCTTACTCGCGAGAACTCGCAAAAACCTCAAGGCATGAATGGCCCTCTATACAAACAGAGCGAACACAGAATAGTCATAGCGCGCCGTCTCAGGAGGAGAGACATGGGCCCATTGAAGCAAATGGCATGTTGGCTTGTTGAGAATCAGATCGGTATGTAGAACACACGCGCGAAGTAGAGCGCAAGCTTCTTAAGAAAGCCCAGAGGCTGACGCCATCTTCAGCATTGTCTTTTAACCTCCTAGCCCTCCTACTTCTCTCGCACGCCTCCATGCCCAAGGCTCGACCTCATACAGTCAACTACTTCAACCTTGCATACTACAACCCGGCATCCGGCCGCTACGGTCTCGGCAAGGATGATGGATACTTCATATTCTTCTGCATCATATTGTTCACCGGCCTGCGAGCCGCGACTATGGAATACCTCCTTGCCCCTTTCGCCAAGGCCAAGGGCATCTCCAAGAGGAAAGACATCACCAGATTCAGCGAGCAGGGCTGGTTACTCATCTACTACAGCGTGTTTTGGACACTTGGGTTGGTAGGTTGTTTCAAGTCGGTATCAACTGGGCGACGCTGACACTGAGCAGTACCTATACTACACATCGGACTACTGGATGAATCTCCGAAACCTCTGGACCAACTGGCCTGACCGAGAGCTGAGCGGCCTAATGAAAGGCTACATGCTCGGCCAGCTCGCATTCTGGCTGCAGCAGATCATGGTAATCAACATTGAAGAGCGCCGCAAAGACCACTGGCAGATGTTTACCCACCACATCGTAACCATATGTCTAATCTACACGTCGTATCGCTATCACTTCACCAAAGTCGGCAACCTCATCCTCGTCCTAATGGACGTAGTCGACCTCTTCCTCCCAGTAAGCTGCCCCATCTCTCTTCTCTGGCCCCAAGCACAGCGAACTAAACAGCTCTCTAGGTAGCCAAATGCCTCAAATACCTCGGCTTCAAGACGCTGTGCGACATCGCCTTCGGCGTCTTCATGCTCGCTTGGTTTGTCGCCCGACACGTCCTCTACGTGGCAGTCTGCTACTCTGTCTGGGCGCACTCGGACGCCTTAGTGCCCTACTCTTGCTTCAGCGGCTCGAACGCTGACCTAGCCGGGCCCTTCGACCCGCCCGAGTCCAGAGGGCTGATGTACCTCCTCGACCCGCTCCTCAGCCAGGACGGGCTGGTGTGCTACAACAACACGGTGAAGTGGTGTTTTCTGTCCGCTCTTCTGTTTTTGCAAGGGATCACGCTCTTCTGGTTCGGGATGATCATTAAGGTCGCTATTGGGGTGTTTAAGGGACGGGGCGCGGAGGATTCGAGGAGTGATGATGAGATGGAGGATGGTGAAGAGAGTGAGGTCGAATTGGAGGAGGAAGCACCGCCGCTGGAGGAGGAGGTGGGTGTTGAGGGAATCGATTTGAAGGGGTGGGAGAGGAGGACAGGTGTGAAGAGGGCGGCAGCGGCGTCGTCGGGGGTCAGTTTGCCTGGGCATAGTGATCGGAAGGAATTGCTTGGACGGATTGGGTGCGAGAAGCAGGTTGATTGAGTCGACCACTCCCGAAGAGATGGGAAGGTATGAAGATATATACCATTGCGCCTTCAATTTGGACGAGATATAGAGTGGCATAGGCCATGATAGGGGAGCCGCAGTTTAAGCCAATGCTCAGAGGGCGATTTGGTGCCAATGCCCGTCGATGCTGTTCTAACAAATCTGATCCGGACGTTTCATAGTCCACAGCAGCTTTAGCAGCGCAACGACACTGACATGTTGGTCTCTGGTCCCCTTCGCTTGTGGCAAGCAACTGACAGCACTTCCTGCAAATGCAAATAAGATTGTCCAATGACCGAGAGTCTGCTATGGCCACCCACGAAAGTCTGCTAGCTCTATTAGCGTCCCATGTTGCTGGACATCCATAACATGGACCTAATCCAGACAGTTCATCTACGCGAGTCGATCCCGACTCAGTCGAAGGGCAACGTGCCAGAGTGATTAATGGGTATGACTCGAAATTATATGGCTTCGGCCATAGGTTCAAATCCTGTCGTTTTCGACCTTTACTTTTGCCGTCTGTTCTTGTCCGCTTGTGGGGACAATTTTCTACGATTTGTCGGAGTGCTGGTCCGCGAGGTTGTTCTCATATGTCTGCCATGGAGGCGCTCTTAATGAGGAATGTAGTCAGCCATATGTCCCATATGTCAGTCTCCAGCGTCATTCTTTACGACGTGTCCTCCTCAAGTCAAAGTCTTGCTTGGCATAGAAACACGCCTCTGGTCATTGTACTGAGTGAACACATGCCCCGGATTTTTTGACTCGATGGTGCAGGGCTAGTGTAGATATCTCAAGTTCTGTACCGATCCGTAAGGACGGCACCGGCGCTAGGAATGTGATCCGGAGCAGCTCCGGCCATGTCCCCGTAGGTCAGGGTGGGTCCAGGTGGGGGCTTTTGGGGAAGAGAGCTCTTCAAGCTTCTCATTGGTTCAGGCCAGCTTGAGACAAACAGCGGTCCTGGGCCGACCCGTCTTCCCGTCCTTTCTTTGTCCCATCTGTACGTAGTGTAGACTCTGGTCTCTGCCGTATGCCTCAGGTTTGACAAGAGAAGCACCAGACTGCTTGCATCATGCCGGATGGTGCGGCTCATCAGACCGCATCTCCTGCGCATCACGGGCCTAAGTAAAGATGGAAAACGTGCGAAAGTCCTGCTGACCTGGACGAATAACAGGGTGGTATTGGCCCTGTTTGATCCGCCCTATCGGGTCGCCTGGGTTCCTGGGCGTGTCGGTGATTGGTGTTCCACGTTATGGCCGGCAGATGTTTCGTCACTTTTCATGTACTGCCAGCTCAGCATCATCCCCAGCCTCCTCATTTATTTCTCGTGCGTTTTTGAGGGTTCTCGATGCCCTGCAGGGACGAATTGGGCAGAAAGGAGCAATGTCAGCTGGAAGTTGCTTCTCCTTGTACACGTCTCCCGTCAAGCTTTTGTCTTTGTCTTCGTAAGGTACCTTAGTACACATGTTGCACTACACGTGTACGATGACTCGCAGGATGCTACCGCAGCGATAGCTGGCTGTTTGCTGGACTCGAGGGCTCTGTGATGCCCTAGACATTTTCTCTGTACTGTCTGCTGTGTCAGTAACTGGTTTCTGCCGTTCACGATATGAACTCGGCGATTCTTCCACAAAGCTGAGGTAAGGTAGTAGAGGTAGACGCGGTAGTCATTGCGTTTGTATAACACGCGTACCTTATCCCTGGGTCGTGCGCGTGCATCAAGTGCAAGTCTGCGCCGGGCTCTGGCCTCCCGTCAGCCCGGAGGAAATTGCAGTAACAGACGCGCCTCCCTCTGCGGCAGAAGCAACACTGCAGGGAAGGCGCGACTGCGGAAATAGAGAAGCTGGGCTTCAGGCTTCATCCAAACTTCGCGATCTCTCGCGCTTCAACAAGACAGCTGATTGCTTCCCGACGTAGCCGCCATTGCCAACGGAGACCTCGGAAGACAATCGCGTATGACAGCATTGACTGCTTGGAGTAGTCTCTAGCACTTAGAAACTTGTATTATTGAAGCAAAACCTTTTCACTTCCAAGTTGGACAGTAGCGTTGTGGGTCGCCTCTGACTTGCTCCTTCCTCAGCAAGTTCATCCCTCGCGTATTCCTCTTCTACGCTCTTCTGCGGGCGTGACACCTCAACGTCGCACCTTCGCATCCGTCATCTGCCATACAAACGGTCACTAGATGAGGTAGACAATGACGACGACCCCGGAAAATTATCAAAACCCCGAGAAACCACCAGCTTGCTCAGCTTCTTGCCCCAGTAGAGTCTGCCCAAGCGGCAATTGGCTCTATTAGAAATCTATGATGAGCCCGGCAGGCCGCTAATAGACTCTGCTGCCCGATATTGCCTTATCAGGCCAGCGTGGTTCACTACACTGTGCTGTTCAGAAGTGAGGTTGAGGGCTGAGAGCGAACTGGGCAGTGATTTGTGCGGTTGTGGTGAGGTGGTGGTGGAGGACCGGTGCTGTAGTTGAGAGGTGAGCTGCAGCGACCAGGTACCGTTGTGACGACCGTGGGATTTCAACACCATCCAAACCGCCACCCAACTCACCTCCACCACACGCAGCGGAAGGCGGTGACAACGACGACCACTCGACGACCACGCCAAACCTATCGCCTGGCGGTCGCATGTGGAAAAGGGACTCTAGAACGCGTTTGCGAACCCGGGATTTGCTCTTTTTCCTGAGTTCAGCTCTTGATCCGAGCTCAATCGCAGGCGTGGCCTGTTTTCCCAACCGGTTTTCCCGACCACCTCATTTTTTGCGACTCAACCTTCAACCCGCCCCTCCATTTTCGCCAGCAATCAAAACGACTTGGGTCCAGAACATTACTGCTACTCGTTACCTGCTTATCGCTGTACTTCATTCCTCTACCAAACTTTCTTAACGGAGGGTTTGAGGTGTGTGGTGCCTCTCAATTGCACTTCGGTCATTCATACAGACCAAGTCCACCGACTTCGTCATTGTCGTCACCACACTGTCTTCACTTATCCAGGTATGCTACCTACCTTTGTGCGCCCACCATGTCACAGCCACGACGCATATAACCTAACAAGTCGCTGGAAATACAGTGATTCGCCTACTATTACCAATCCATAACCACGACAGGTGGTAAGATTTCACCTTGTCTTCACAGGCCAAACCAGTTGGGGGTCCAGGACCAGCCGCTAGTCTGAACACTCTACCGAGCTCCAAAGCTCAAACCAGTCACACCATTCACGAACCTCTAAACTCCATTCAACAGCGCCAGCAGCAAACGCTACCACTTCCTCGCTCGCAAGCATCCCAGTCTGTAGGACTTGGGGACCGATCGTCCACTCCATCTTCAGTCCGAGCACTCCGTCGGACACCTCGCTTCCACGGCACTCCTAGCCCCCAGCCAAGCGAGCAGGCTGACCAACAGGGAGAGTCGCGGCAACGGCCAGTCCACCTCGAAGCAGCCTCGGTAGGTATCAGCTCAAGACCTCAGTTCGCCGCCGCTCTTCCGTCCCCTGAGCTTGGTGGACGACTGCCACGTCACCGGGCAGAAACCCGGCATAGGCGGCAACTCACTCAGGACCTGCCTGACGATAGCGAACACGATTCCACTCTCAACCCGTCGTACATACCACCACGCACTTCTTCTGCGGCCGCGACCAGGTCTGAACCACCTCACCGTGTCGTTCGAATCTCCAGAGGAACACACAGTGCTATTCTCTGGGCCCTCGAAGAAGCACTCAGACAGCCGAATCCTTTCAGTCCCGACCTTGTCGAAGAGAACGCTTCCATGGCGGATCTCTTAGCAGGCGGGGGAGGCACGGCCAGCACCAATGGCAACGGCGCATCCACCACACGGCCCACAGCACCTCCACAACAGACCGGATCTCCGTCACAAGGTATAAGAGGGCCGAGAATGATTATGCGGGAGCGAGCTGAGCGCGAAGCGAGACAAAAAGCGGAACGCGAACAGATGGAGCGTCTTCGAGCCGAAGAAGAGGCTCGTGCCCTAGAAGACCAACGACGAAGGGCGGCGGAGCGGAGGGGAGGAAGCCAGGCTGCTGGCGCTGCTGTTGGAGGAAAGACTGGCGGTATTGGAGTGGGAGCAGGTACCGAGGAGACGCAGACAGACCCGATGACGCAGAGGCGACAACAGAGAGCCCAAGAAGCAGCAGCGGCCGCAGCTGGATCATCCAGACAACCGGGACCAGTCCCACAGACCCAGCCACTTCGTGCTACACGCGTCCCTACGGGACAACCCGACCAAGCCTATACCGGAGCACTGCCCACCGGTGCTGCACAAAGCAATACACAACAGGGCGAGAGCGCGACGACAGGGGCAGCCGCAACTAGAATGCCCAGGAACTCATTTCCTCATGCCTTTGAGCGCTGGGAGGCGCTTTCGGCTCACTGGGAAGGCATGACGAGCTTCTGGATCCGGAAGCTCCAGGAGAATACGGAGGAGCTTGACCGAAATCCCGTGTCAGCTCAGCTCTCACGACAGGTTTCGGACCTTTCGGCCGCAGGAGCGAACCTGTTCCACGCCGTTGTCGAGCTCCAGAGACTGCGGGCTAGCTCCGAACGGAAGTTCCAGCGCTGGTTCTTTGAAACGCGCGCGGAGTTAGAGCGTAACCAAGAAACGAACGCGATGCTGCAAAAGGCGCTTGACGAGGAACGAAGAGCTCGTGAAGACGCAATACGCGAGGCAGTCGAGCATGAGCGCGGTAACTCCAAAACGCAGAAGCAATTGGCCGAGATGCGGAAGGAGCTGATGATATCGAAAGAGGAGGCACGTCGTGCGTGGGAGGAGCTGGGAAGGCGGGAACAACAGGAGCGTGATCGCACCATCTCGCTGCAACAAGGACTCCCGACCATCGTCGGAGGTGTCCAGGTTGTGCCCATGACGCAAGGTGTACCCAGTCGCCAGACGAGCGCCCGCGATCCGCAACGTCCTCAGACACGTGGCGAAGATCCAGAATATGGGTCGTCTCAGAGCACCGGAGTATACCCCGAGTATTCACAACCGGCCTCAACACAAGCAGGCCCCGCTGTAGGTGCCAGCAGCAGTGATGCACAGTACTACCAACAACATGCACCGGCTGCGACGGCTCACGAGAGTGGCAGCTATGGTCCCGGCTCTGAAGGCGGCTATAGCGAAGGCGAGTTTGTGATCGACGGAAACGGTAATTACGTCCGCGATGCGCAGGGCAACAAAATTCCATTCCGCAGCCCAGACACGCATGCTCACGGAAGACACGGTTCTGACGCGAGTATGCCTGAGGACTTCGAGCCGCTGCCTGCTTCTACCAGCTATCCGCCGTCGAGCTCGCAATGGGCGCAGTCAGGCCAACAAGACTACGCCGGTCAAGGCTATGCTGCTCCTGGGTGGGAGACGGTACCCCGCCACCACCACCCGACACGGTTGAGCGACGTTATCGAGGAAGATGACGAGCGCAGTCGTACCTCGGCCAGCCAAGTCAGCCGCGTCAGCCGAGCGTAGGGGACTAACTATATCGATCCGAACCTGCT